CCAGCGGATTTGCCTCTTGAGTCAGCATCACTTCCAGGCTGCTTTTTTCTCTAGAGAAACAGATAAGCTTCAAGTTTTTCTTGTATCCTTTGCACTGTATTGCTGTCATGCTTTGCTCTTAGCTGAACTCCCTCACCTTGCAACGCCTCTCACTCTGCACCAATCCCCCAGCACTGGGGTTGCCCCGTGCTGCTCCACCTGCGCTGGGTGGGAGTGCAGGCTGCTAAAACCACGGCCGATTTCCTCCGCACCTTCCCCTTTTCTTGTCTGATGTTTATTTTTCACACAAACACCACTTGGAGTGGGACAGAACCATTTTTACTCTGTCTCTTAGCTCTGGTCATGTTTTCCTCAAAGTACGTGTTTTTAACCGGTTGAAGGGAGAACAGGCTTCAATCTCATTTGTGTCCCCAAAACATCCAGCTCCAGGCAAGGCTACACAAGCCTCACTTTTGCAAGGAGCATTTCAGGTAGGTGTTTCAGACCTCACATTAAGGAGGACTGGAGGCTGGCACACAAATACCAAGAGACGCCTCAGCCTCAGCAGCCTCAGCTGTGACAGCAGCTCAGCAATCCCGGGTACAGGAGGCAGAGCAATGCTAACACTTCCCTGGGGAGATGCTGCTCTCTAGCCCCCGCTGTTACCTGGCTCCGCGAGTGACAACAGCTAAATTGCAATTGCTCACCCGAATTTCCAAGCCTTTGGGCCAACTATTGCTACTTTGGATCATCAGTCCACGGAGCAACTCAAAAGGCTTAGTCCTTCTCTCCTCATCTGAAACCAGACTTGGAAATTCCCTGCGGCTTTGCCTGTGAACTTGCTTCCCATTATGCCATGGACTTTTGAGATCCGATTTTCAGTGTCCCTTCATTCTCTCCTCCAACTAAGCCTGACTGTGAGCAAGACAGCGTGATTGAATTGCATTTGAGAAAGTCATCCACGAAGCGAGTGAAACACGCTGCCAAAATACCACCCCGCTTATGGGAAACCAGAAGATTGTATTTCATTTTGCCGTTCACTCAGCTGAATCCCAAAGCCTCTGGCTGCCTGGAAAGCCACCCCCTCTGCTCAAGCACTTTTTTTACTAGTGACAGTTTACAAATTGAGAACACTGACATCCTGTAATGAAGCAAAGCCCAGCTGCACTCCCGCTGTAAATGATAGGGTGCAGCACTCTGTGCTCCCTGCACGCTCACAACGTTTCTCTTTCACAGTGTCTTCATCATCAGACACTGGTGACTACTCTGTCAGCTGACGGCAAAGAGTATCTGAAAGAATTTGTTTTACAGACACAGGCCAAAGAGCTCCTCTGGCATCAACTCCTTGTGACTGCATTCAGGTGGGGCTACGGAGAAATCCTCTTTTGTTGGGAATCAAAATTAAAGCAAGACTGACATTTAAGATCCACTGAAGGGGTCTGAATCCACTCAGCAGCAATTCTCCTTCTCTGCACTTTTATTTCTTCCCCCAGTCTTCTTGACTTTCCCAGGGGAGACCTCACTTGGAGTCCTTTTTGCCTCACTCAAACCATCAATACTTAAATTCCCCAATGATATGCTCAGATGGGCAGGGCACACGAGTGAGATTTTCTACTTCCATCCTTTGGGAGTATCGACTCCAGCAAAATCCTGCTGATTCACACTGATTTAGCGCTGCCTTACTCTTTCTCCGGCTTTTGAGGGAAGTTATCAAGAGCAAATAGAAAAAAAACCATTAAAAAGGGAAATAGATAAAAACTTCTTTTTCTAGAGCACAAGTATTTCTACTTTCAATTCTAACCAGGGCATTGAAGTTGTTTTTGTTTTCCTTGGTACCGGTGTTCAGAAACACACCAGAAACACCCAGTGACCTAAATGAGGTCCTAAGGATGTATTTTCATTATCAGGGAACTGCAAAGATGAAGAGGATGCAACCCTCAGAAACTGGGTTGTTTCTGACAGGGGAAATTGGTGAAGCACGATTATGGCAAATGAAATCAAAACAACATAACAGCATGTGCGAGATGGGTCCTAAAAACTATTACCCTTGTTTACAATGAAGCTCTTCACAAAAGCAAACGGATCAAATGCATTCTAAACATGGATGTATTAATTTGTAAGAGCATCTCTAGGCACCTACACATAATTGCATCTTCCCGGCAGAAGAAGCTGATATTCGTTTCAGAGCTTTGTACCACTCAAGACTAAGTGAATTCTCCCTAGTCCTGTTTGAGGTTAGAGCCCAGAACTTCTATAGTGAGGGGATAATCCAGTTATCAAGGCTATTAAGGCCTCAGTCTGCAATACAAGAGACCCCAGGTTTAATTCCCTGGTCTTCCATAGGCTTCCCATGCCATGTAATTACTTCTAATCACCTATGTCACTGCAGTAGTAGAGTGCTCTGATTTTCCAGAGCTCTTAATGCTGTGTGCTAGAAGGTACCGTCACAGTTGTAAATCAAGGAGTTTGAGTTCACATTTTGTTGGGGGTAAACACAGTAGCAATGAGAAGATGCTCACGTGGTAATAATGCTATACCTAAGAGAAATAATATTAGCATTAGAAGTCTGTGAGAAAAAAAACCTACATATTTAGCAGCTAGAAAATCGACTGTCTTCCTTCATAAAATAGCCACAAGGGAACAAACAAAGCCAGGTTCACCACTCTGCGTTGTACTGACACCTAAAAATACTGACGAGACATTATCGGTACACTGTAAATATAACACCTCAGCAGTGATTGCAGTTGCTATCATTCAAAAGAAATCAAAGTGTGGGGTTTTTTTCCATTTGAATCTAGAGCCCCAGACAATCTCATGACAGGATGTTTCCTTCCAGTTAAAGCCACCATGCTCTGATGCCTCTAACAGCTCAGCATGTGAAAGGGAAGGGGAAATGATCAGCTCTTCTAGGGAACGACTCTTGAACTCAAAAATGTACTATGAGGTTGCAAAATTTCAGGCTGTAGAGAACTATCACCAGTGCTGTAAAATGACGCAAAAGTCACCTCCAGATAGCAGCCGCTCAGGGAACAGAAACACTTCAGAACTGAAGGTCCACTAAAAATTTCAGTTGCAACTTCCCACTAATTAATCAGAAGGGTCCTGGTAAATGTCCCACATTTCAGCCTTTTTCCCAAAACAGATACCTCCCGATAGTGGAGCAACGCGTGTACACTTCAGAGAGGCAGTTTTGTTTTCCTTTGAGCTTTGCCAGCAACCTGTGATGCAGCAGATGAGCAGAGGGGCTGGGGAGAGGACCTTTTTTCAGGCAAGTAACCAGCAATAGCAATGCTGACCCTGCAGCGTTGGACACGCTCAGTCCATCTCTGTTCAAAGTCCCTCCTCAGTTCTGGCCCTCTTTCTCCAGCGCCTCTCATCACGCTGCTGCTTGGGAATTGCAGAAGGGATCCGCTGTTAAAAGCTGGGCTCTGAACGCAGGTCAGAGCAGCCTGGGGTGAATGCAGCTTGCGCAGGCTGTTTCTATAAGGTTCTTACTAGAATTAGGAAAACAAGCATTTCATCATTAAGAGGCTAAAGCACAAATCATAATTTTACCTTGAAATTCCTGTTACGAAAAGCATCTATCTGACCACATTTTACCTCCATCTCATACTTATGCAAGATACCTGTAACAAAGCCACTCTATTGTCACTGCAGAAGAGGAATTGGCTCAGGCATTAAAGAATCCCAATCCAACAACAGGAATGCTGCTTCACAAGCTGCAGTTAAGTTTGAACTTCATATTTTTTTTTATTTTAAATATGCTGCAGGTTATTTCCAAAACCCGAGAGGGCCTTCAGCACGACAAATGATCACTCCTGAGTGCAGCCTGTAATTTCAAAGCACAACCCTTTGCCTCCTCAAGACGTGGGGTTTATTCTCAGTAGATTTCTGTGGAATTTATTAGATGCATTTTCAGCTACAGAACGTAATTCCTCAGTTTATATCAAACAGAAACCTTTCAGCAGAAAACTTCCACATTCTTGCTACTAAAGAGCTGATGAAAACAAACTCTTCTCTTTCCTTTAAATGATCCCATCATTCATTACCCCATTTCTTTGAGTCAGTGCTCCACAAATTATTATAAATTACTATCTTATCCAACTATTTCTTTGGCCTTCTATTACCACAATATTTAGTAGTATCCAGCCTTAAATGCATTTTTGTTCACAGTGCTTTTGCAAGGAACGGACGTGCTCTCATCCTTCCCTCTCCAAAGGGTGCTTAGAGATACTAAGTGATTTGATCAGAGGTGGGAAGAACTCATAGCAGAACAGCCAGATTAGGTCTCCTGACTGGCAGGTTAACACTAGTCATTTAGTAATCATTTAATTCATTACAATAAAGCCAGGCAGTTCCAGGAACCATTTGTACACGCACAGTCTGAAATCTTAAAAAGCTTCATTCCCATGTCAGAGGCAAAGATGTGAGGCCCATGTGTAAGTGAGCTTCTCAAAAAATTCAGGAATACACGGTAGAACAAGGACTAAGTGCAGCCAGCAATGGTTCTCCTCAAACTGTTTGCTGTACAGCCCCATTTTTTCTTCTCCCGACCACACAAAAATCAAAACCTTGTCTTTGCATGCAGGTAGACAGTAAACCCTGGCAGATGGCTGGTACTACCAACAGTCGGAATGGAGGATTATTGTGAAGACCACTTCTTTGTCATTCCAGTCACACGGAAATCATACGGTCAGTACTAATTAAATAGTGTGTGTACCTGCTGCTTCTGTTCTGGAAGGTGACCATATGTTGTAAATCATTAAGTCAGCAGGGGAATGACCAGACACAAAGACATGCATGCGCTCTGCCTGCTAACCATATAAACACACAGCTATGCAAACACACCTAAGCATGGCAGGATTATTTTTTTTGTTTACCCTTCAATCCAAGATAAGAAAAGGGTCAGCGTCAAAGAAACCCAAATTCCTGTGTGCATGTTTCCCAGCCTGTTCTCTTTTGCTAGATTTAGGCTGAAGAAAGCCAGGACAGAGAGAATACAAAGAGCCAAGGGAACTCACTGCTTTGAGGATTGCCACTGCATCCTGCTGGAGCCACGTTGGGTAGACAACTTCATCGTTCAGAATAGCCTCGAAGAGGTCGTCCTCATTCTCTGCCTCAAAGGGTGCGTGGCCACACAGCATCTCATACAGCAGCACGCCCATGGCCCACCAGTCTACGTCAGGGCCATACAGCATCTCTTGCAGGATCTGCAGAAGGGATGGGAAAGAAATATCAACACCAAAGCTTCTTAAACTGAGAAGGAGAGGGACATGGATTTGGAAACATTAACGCAGAAGTTCTTGCTATGTTTTAACAGTGCTTTCTGCTCAGCTGTCTGGATGTCCAGGTGATCTCAAGCTGGGAACCCCCACAGCAGCACTAAGCTACATCAGATGCATGAAACAAGGGCTGAACTAACTTGGCTGCTCACAGAGTCTCCTGAAAAAAAAAGCCCTTAGAAATTATGCTAAGGCTTAGCAAGCAGAGAAGGGGCTTTTCAGCAAAACTGGCTGAGCCTCAGAAGCGGCGGAGCAGCCATGTGTGTGGGTTGACAACAGCCTCTCCTTGCCCCTGGGAAGGAAATGCTTACCTGGCCCCAAGGGCAAGGCCTTCAGCTGGAGAGAGGAAGGAGCACGCGTGTGTGAGAAAGGCACAAATGCCAACCACGGACAAAAATTCAATTGTGCTGAAAATGGATCTGAAGATGGATTTGAAACCCTGTCAGAACATCTGGCAACATCTGGAGGGCAGCTGTTCCTTAAAAAGCTGGTTAGTGATTTTGTAGTGAGACTGAGAAATGACCGGAAAGGGGAGAAGGTAGAAAAAGATACTGGGAAACAAGGGAAAATTCAATCTACTTTCAACCAAGCTGGGCCAGTATCTGTATGCGTCTCTATCTCAAGATTTTGCAGCTGTGCCTCCATTTTTCATCTAATATTTCCTAAAGAAAAATGCAGGCTTATCTCGGTGCCTACAACAGCCTAAAGGTTTACTCATGCTTTGCTTGCACAAGGGACTGATAACACAAGCATACATCTAGGAGGAAACCTTGCACCCAGCGGTCAAATAAGGTGTAGCTAAAGACACCAGAGAGTACCTTTGCTGTTCCAAAGCTAACCTATGCTTTTCATACTGTAACCAAGTCTTCCTGGCTGAAGAAAGGTTTTTTATACCTCCGGAGCGATGTAGTCTGGTGTACCACAGAAGGTGGCTGTGGTAATGCCATCGTGAATGCCCTCTTTGCACATTCCGAAGTCTGCCAGCTTGCAGTGGCCCTCGTAGTCCAGCAGCACGTTGTCCAGCTTCAAGTCCCTGCAACGAGAATCGTTCACCCGGTCACTACGTGCTTGGAACAGCCCCAGCACAAGCAGAGTCAGTGTCCCAGGCCTCAGAAGCTTAACCTGTTAACTGGACAATCATGATAAAAAAATAAACAGAAGTCATGCAGGAGGGGTTTTCTTTTGCTTCATCTCTTACAAAAGGGAGGGAGAAACAAACATCATTCTGCCAAACTGCATTTAACAGGGGCAGGTGCTATACAAGGTCGTCCACATGGCTTTCCAAACACACCACAAGCCTGGCTGGCAGAGCTCCTGCTCATTTAGCTCCGGGACTGACTGGAGCAGAGGTTGCCAGAGCTGTCAAATTGCCTAACGATGCTATGATGCAGCAAAACGCATCGCACGGGACGTGCTCTGACTCAGCAAAGCACTGCGCCCGGAGCACGCAGGAGAAGCCGGAGA